TGGATAACACCAAAGAAAAGACCAACAAATGGCTGCAATTGATCTGCTGCTGTCCTGGAAGTCCTGGAGAAACCGAAGGCCAAGATGATCTCATTCCAGAGGTCAACTATCACCAGGTTCAAAACAATGACGAAGATTCTTCAATGGGTACAACACAACCAGACCAAGAAACGAGCTTTCGTGCTCGTCTTGCCACATTTGTGTTGACTTTATCCATAACAGCTTTCACGGTTTGCCTTACGCGTGCCAATGCACACTTAGTTAGTGGAGAGGCCTGGGCAGTTCTCCTTTGCTGCATCTTTGGTTTAATGATTGTCGTTTCTCTGATGTACATCACCAGGCAGCCCAGAAATTCCGCCACATTCCCATTTATGGTTCCAGGAGTCCCTATTATTCCTGCTCTTACAATATTTTTCAATGTCTTATTACTGGTTACGCTGAATCAGTGGACGTACGTCAGATTCAGTGTTTGGATGGCTTTAGGTAAGAACTAATCTTCCATTTTAAAGTTGTCTTGACCACGCATAACTATATGTTTATGCAGAGAATCTTGCTTATGTCATTGTTTTCATTTTTCTTCGCATTTACAGGTCGTAAAAAATTCGACAATTCATTTTATTTCAACCTTCTTGGTATAATGGGATAGCCAGCTCTATAAGCTTTAATTTGACATAGGGGTTTAGGTATCTAAAGTTTAAACCCGACGCCCTAAATCGCTTGGACGTGAGACACGGCTATAAATGTATACGGTAACTTTAAGTAAAATATCCTACGGAATGCGTGCAATCCATGGATTCGTGTGTCATCCTATGTTTAATTTTATTGGCTCTGGTATTAGCCACGTCATTTATCTACCGTTTTTATTCTAGGTTTATTCGTGTATTTTTTCTATGGCTACAACCACAGTGTGGAAGGCACCAGACCAGATGACAGATCAGAAGCACAGTTCATTCTATCAGAGACACCAGACTTTGGAAATGAGATTAAAGAGTATCCGGCAGCTGAATGAACAATTAGAACAATTAAACTGAGTGATTATCCGATTGACCAACTTATCTGCTGGATGGGAAAGCGCTATTTTTGAAGATATCTTCGACTACTTTTTTACTCAGGAAACGGTATGAATAGAAGGCAATATCCTTTCCTTTGTCGAGTAGTGTGATGGAGTTAGCTTAGTGGATATATTAGTGGATATTATCAGTTATTGTATCAGTTTATACGCAAATCATACATTTTCAAATATTTTAAAATATATCCAAAAAAAATCAAATATAGTTCGGTTAAGTTGGACAAGAAAGTGACTATGCCGCATGCTCGCGTAGCCACAAAAAGTCCATTGTGCAAAAAATAAATCAATCCTTTAAAAAAAATAATCCTACGTTTTATTGGTCTCTGCTTATATATTCTTCTCTTTTTTATTACAAGCCTATATGGTCCAACGCATATAAGAAGGTTCATCGTCAGTGGTATCTAACTAGCGTCCATCTTCTTCTCAATGCCATCTCACGTGACCTTAGTTCTCAAGAGTAAAAAAAGAAAACATACACTCTCGTGAACTACCGCTTTGTCAACTGCACCTGCCTGGTCATATTTATGTGGTATAGTTACAATACGCTGCAGCCTTTCGTTGACCAAATATTATTAAGCGTACTAAACTAAACTGCTAAACCATCATGATATTCCAGCGAACAGAATTTACCGTTCAGATTTGGCCGTTTGAACGGGGAGCCTAAGTGCTAAGACCCGGCTATTTGTAGCTTTCATTCAGTGCAAGGGAGATCAGTGAAAAACTAAAACTAGCGATTTGAAAAAGGCCATGTTTTTAGTTACTGTCACGTGCTGCCCCAAAGGGTGTTGTTTTCTTTTTTGGCCGTTTTGGTTAGAAATAGGGTATCGATTTTGGCCATTTTCGTCTCGAATAGGGTATGGCTTTTGAACTCTAGTTTGGGATTTGGTATGCATTTTAGAAGTAGCTACTTTTTCATCATTGCTGATAAGACCATCAACAAAGGCCCTTCACAGTGCCTTTAACCGTCGGTCTGAATCAGGGAACTGATTCTAAGGCGGTCTGAAATAGGAATTTAAGGGTTAGGTCTTAAATGGGGCATCAAAATTTTGTTCAGGTCATCAATAAATGGGGTGGGTAAAATAACAGATTTTGGTCTTAAATAGGGTGAGGGTTTTGGGAAGCGGGCTGCACACCCCNGGGGGGGGGGGCATTTACGGCACTGGTAATACTTGAGGTGTTCGCAATGATTCTCGTAATCCACGCTCTGCGTGAAAACAAAAAAAAAAGAGGAAAATTTTCGACCGCAGAAATCACTGATGCAGAATAGGCACAATATTTGTCCACATGTGAGAATTCTTCATTCAAATGATATTGAAACTGTGTCCCTGCCGCATGCAAAACACTTGACTGTAATTTTTAGCATCACTTAAACAAACATATATAAAGGATATATATAAAAATTTTATCATATCGTCATCTTAAGCCTTCATTCAATTTATTTTTCCCCTCCTTTCGAGATTGACTGGTTCAGTGACCACAACATCAGAATAACTTTCTACTGCTCGTCAAACTTAAGACAAAATAAAAACTTGCAAAAGCACGCCTTATTTTAACAAGCTTTCTAATCGAATGATATTATTAAAACAATATTATTGAATTATTGAAGACCGCCAAATATCGTGATGCTAATGACGCGCAGGAATAATGCTGATTTCCCCCTCGCCTCGAATTAATTTTATTTTTCTTACTCTCCTCTGACAAAATCAGCATCTGTAAATGAATGAGCAGCTCAACTGCAGCGGAATGTAAGCGGTTTCAATTTGAAATATTTTATAGAACCACTTCATTTAGTGCACGGTTGGTCATATTAGGGTCCTTTCCACACTATCTGAAAACGCATCAAATGTTTTCCGTCCACACTACGCCGGAGAAATTTGAAAAACGCAACAAACACCAGTATCATTTTGGATTTGTGTTCGAGGGAAACTCGGTCAGTGAAATCCCATTATTATCGTAATGTCATCGTTTTGAAAAGCTCCGTACGTTTTCAAAATTAAATATTTTCCGTCCAAACTATAAAAACGTAAAGCCGGCCGCGGCGTTTTCAAATTCCTCCGGTTTGAAGAGCGTTTTTGAAAAGCTCCGTTTTCGTGACGGACTAGTGTGGGCGGTAGGCCTAACCGTAGAAATAAAGCTGCGTTTTCAAATTTCTCCGGAGTTGTGTGAACGGGGCCTAAGGTAACTATGCCAATCCAGCGGCCACGATTCACGGGAAAGAATTTACTCATTACTTAACTGTTACTGTTAGCAGGATCCTGCTGTTAGTTTGTCTTGTGTTAAGCCCTCTTGGAAGTACGTATTTGTCAATTCTCAATATTTCTTTTGCCCTCTTCATTTTATTATTTACCACTTTTTTAAATCGACCGAATGACCCTCTTTTACGAGAGAGAAAGCGATGGGAAACTACAAACATATCAGCCATTGCTGAGTTTAAAGTCTTCCAAATTAAGAACTTGAGCGCGGATTGCAAAAAAATTATTCAGAGAACATTTGGTTACCGGTGCGTGTAAACAGCCGCCCAATATGCCAAGCAGGAAGGAAGGTCGTGACCGCCCTCGCGGGTATATGCAGGCTTATGTTGAAATTAATTGTGAAGTGGTCGATCTAATTTGAGGGAAAATGTCGTTTGCTCTCATATCATTGTAATACATGTAAAATATAAACTGCAAGCCTACTCCATGGTTTTCTTCATATATCGCGCAAGAATTCGAAAAACGCCAGAGAAACTAGAAAGCACTGATGCGTACAACTAGTTGGCAGGAAGTTGAGAACTAACCGATTTGGGCTGTTTTAGTTCTCATTCCACGCGTGGACAAGGAATTGAAGATCAGGACTAGTTGTCTTAACGTCAACTTGAAAACAGTTACCGTCAGTTGTCACTTCAGGCAAGTTGGCCCTTGCTAAAGACTCTCTTTACAGGCCGCTTTAATACATCTTTATTTGTGGCCTTATGCGCCACTCACGAAGGGGCGAAGAGGGTGAGTGAGTGTTAATACATCTTTTTAAAATGCAAGGGATAAAAAAACTATGACTAAAAATAGAAATATTAAACGTAACCAAGAGATGTTCTCTTGACGTGACGTGTCGGGATTACGCAAGTACTTGAATTCAAAGTCATTCAAACCTGTCAGTTTGCAAGATCAAGTTATGAATTCACAGCAAAAATAAAACTTTCATGATTACTTTCCAGATAACGTTATTCAACGACAGGTCTATCGTTTTCCAAAATATTTTGACGGATTATTCTTCAGGTGAACTAAAAATAACAACGATATTAATAATAACAATATTTTGGTTGTAAAACACGTTCGAATTTTTTAATGGAAGAGTTAAGGTAGCCCTTGTCAGTATTGAGAGCATTGTCAACAGTATCAAATTGTTTTACAGCGAAGCTTGAGCCAAAAAAAGTCCGGCGAAAGAAAAAGTTATCACTGAAATAATTCGAAACATCATTTACATTTCAAAACCCTCCCTGAGGCGACAACGACCTAATTTACCAAACAGGAAGCCTAACTTGGTTCCTTCGTTGTAAAAAAAAACAGTCTAAACAAAGCCGTTTTGTAGCAGAGTTCGTACGTACAATCAGTTTAGAATATTTCGCGGGAAAGCGGCTGACCCAGTGTATGCCGTATACAGCTCACAACGGGGGTCTTCGCAGGGAAATATCGGAAAGAAGGGTAAGGGGAAACAAAGTACTGCCAGTATTTTCTTCGACCTGAACTCCTTTGCCAGTTTACAAAGTGCTTTTTTTTGGATAGGAAATGAAGTGTGGTATTTAAAGAAGGGCTTTATTCGATTCAGCTAAGATACAGGATGCAAATTTTCCGTTGGGTCTGTATTGTTATTGAAGAGCGCGAACCCTGCAACTCAACAACAATTGGACAAAGACCATCTGCTTTTGTACGTCACACATCACTGTCATGCAAATATTCATCAACAATTCGGAATATCGTCTGTCAATTAAAATTCTGATTCGATTTTCTAATTTCTCAGTTTTAAGTTACCACGCGAAGCTCTTCAACGGAAGATCGAATTCAACGTTTCTTCCACGGTTACATTTCCTTGTCGCGTTGCAACGAGAGAAGGCTGATCCATAAACTAAAGGGGAGCGAATTTAATTATGACACTCATTTAGAGACGTTTTAAAGCGAAGGGAGGTTTGTAAACCTTCATCAATTAGCCATATTGAAGACAGAAATCCCACTGAGACGGTGACTGAGAAGACTCGTTTTACACTCTTCAGAACCATGAGTCTTGTGCGGTTTCTTCGTCTTCTCACACGACGGAGAGAGATAGACAACGATCTTTCTAACTCCCAGCTTCGCCGATGCCTCGACGTCTTTGATTTAACTTCCATCGGGGTTGGAGCGACCGTGGGAGCGGGTTTGTACGTTGTTACCGGTCAGATAGCCAGAGATGTTGCCGGGCCAGCCATTGTGTTGTCGTTCTTCGTTGCTGCCGTGGCAGCGTTCCTTTCAGGGATTTGTTACGCAGAATTCGGCTGCCGAATAGTCAAAGCTGGTTCAGCCTATGTTTACACCTACTCCTCTTTAGGTGAAATATGGGCTTTCATAATCGGCTGGAACATGATTCTAGAATACGTGATTGGAACAGCTTCGCTTGGCCGCGCAAGTAGCGAGTACATCGACTCCATTGCCGGGGGGGTGATTCGAAAGTTCTTCGTCAACAACATTGGAGAGTTTAATGCATCTGGCTTGGGTTCGTATCCAGACTTTCTGGCTTTTGTTCTCGTTCTCGCGGTGTCCATGATCGTCGCCAGTGGCGCTAAACACTCAGCTGTGTTCAACAAATGTGTGACCGCGGTAAACATGCTTGTGATCCTGTTCGTTTTGGCCGTTGGTTTGTTCCATGTCGACCCCAGTAACTGGGCTGGCAGAAATCAGTTCCTTCCATTTGGTGTGTCCGGGGTACTAGCCGGTGCTGCAAGCTGTTTCTACTGCTTCGTTGGCTTCGATGTGATAGCAACGGCCAGTGAAGAAACCATCAATCCCAAACGCGCCATCCCTCTGTCCATCATGTTGTGTCTCGTCATCAGCTTCCTTGCCTACTTCGGTGTGGCAACCATTCTGACACTGATGGTGTCCTACGACAAGCTCGACAAGTTCGCTCCTTTACCAGAGGCTTTCAAGGCCGCCGGTGTCCCCGCAGCCAAGTATATCATTGCAATTGGAGGGCTCTGCGCTTTGGCAGGCTCGCTCATGAGTGGTATCTTCGCAGTCCCAAGGATCATGTATTCCATGGCCAGTGATGGTCTTCTCTTCAAGTTTTTTGCCAAAATCTATCAGCGCACTAACGTCCCTCTGATCTCGGTGGCCTTTGCAGGAGTACTGTCGGCTATTCTGGCGCTACTGCTAGACCTAAAGCAACTGGTTGAGATGCTGTCGATCGGCACGTTACTTGCCTACACCCTCGTCTCCATTTCAGTGCTCGTGTTGAGGTTCCAGCCTGGTGTTCAAGACGTCGAGTTCGACGAGGATACTCCGAGCTCGGTACAAAGTTACAAGGTCATGTGCTGCAAGAAGATGCTACCGGAGTCGAAAGGCCCCGATTATAAGCCTTTAGAAAGCGTAACAGACGATAAGGAACAGGAAAACAAATACAAGGAAGAACCAACCACCACCACAAGTCAGATCGCCACGGCTGCCATCTCCCTGCTGGTTGTGGCACTATCCGGCTTCTGTGCGCTTCTGATAGCAGGATGGGGAGCGTTAGGTGACCATAAGGCTTGGGCAATCTTCACAGCCTGTTTTCTTGGCATTCTTATTATTTTTGGCGTGGTGGTGATGCAGCTACAACCCAAAAACAATGCTAAATTTCCTTTCAAGGTTCCCTGTGTACCAGTGCTTCCCATCGCCAGCGTGGTGGTGAATTTGTTCCTACTCCTCAAGTTGTCCGTATGGACATGGGTACGATTCAGTGTTTGGATGGTTCTAGGTAAGAATTTCTTACTTTTGATAACAAATGGTTTTATTATTTTTTTTTTAGAAATTAATATCGTTATTTTGAAGAAATGTTGTTTGCTCTTTTCTCTGTTTCACGCCCTCCACAGAATAATGTTTATTTTCCCTTTTTCATTTGTTTTCCTTTGGACAGGCTTCAGCTTTGATTTCTGCCTCAATATAAATTATTCTGTTACTTTTCTCGCGAGTATTTGCCACTTTTCTAGAACGATATCAAATGCGGCAACAGAAGGCAGAGAGAATTTGTTGTTAACTTTAAGCTGTTTTTAAATTGATTTGAATACGATAAATGCGATCTTCTCAATAAGTATATTTTTTCTTGTTCTACCGATCTCTAAACGTCGATTTTTATGAAACAACGCGAGAATATCAAATATAACAAGGTTTCCTATTTTTTTTCACATCTACGTTTGCGGTTCCCATCCTAACTCTCTTGCTCAAACGACAACTATTGCGAAGACAATGATTGAAATGCAAATTTGAATACCAAAAAATTATTTTGGTGATAGAAAATATCCTAGCTTATTACATAAATGTATTGGCTTTTTTCATTTCTTATATTTTCAAAGTAAGAATCCAACGTTTGAAAATAAATGTTACGAGATCTTGAAGTATTTTAATCCTGCTGTTTGGAATGAGGAAAAAAAAACATTCACCTCCGTTGAGAATATATTTGACTCCACTCTCCTAAACATTTTTACCCTTTTATTATCTCGAAAAGTTTTTATCGTTCATGCTAAACTTTTATTTTAAATGGACTTTGCTGGGATTGAAGTTAATTTCTTTCTCAGTCGCCTTGGGCTAAAATGTTTTCTTTTGTGCATGTATTTAGCTCAACATAGGAATAATTACACTTTACAAATGATCCACAGCCGGGTTTTCTTGTTTTGTTCAGTGACCCACAAAGAGGTTCAGAAAATTAGCATTTATACACTGGCAGTATTCAGTATGAAATTAAGCAGTTAAATTACATTTTGTTTCTGTCTGACATCTTTCCGGGCTCTATACCATTAGCACAAATCTATTTTTCCCTAAATACCATTTGAGCTTTCTTTAGATATGCGTTTATCAGAACAAGGTAAAAATTTAAAACTTCTTCGCACTTAGAGAGTAAAGTTCGTAATGGTTAGCTTTTAAATTTTCGAACTGAAGAAAGCTGACTACATCACGTCAAAGTATTAATATCATTTCAAGTTCAGCTGCTTTACACTTTTTGATCCTCCCCCGTATTTGACGCATTTCCATTGAAATTACGGGAAGTTGAAATTTGCTAGTTGGTCAACGACAATAGCTTTATATTATCTCTCTGTGGGATTCGCCGCGTAAAAGCATTCTCAACGGCGCCAATTACATCTAAAATTCATCGCTCGTCCGAGACATCTTACATGCAACAGTTCGGTTAGTCAACAGAAATTGTTTTCTGGTATTCTAAACATACAAACCGAAATAAGGAATTACATTTTATAATTTTGGGTGAAGACGACTTTATGACTCATTATCAGTGCTTCGAGCAATCCTGTTGTTTCTTCATTCGTCAGTCGTGGTCCAGTTAGAACTTTAGGGCTCGCATTGCCCTCTCCGATTTGCTGCATGATGATATATTTTATTTTATTATTTGTGTATTTTTTTAAAGCGCAGCCGACAGGTGTTTCGGGTTATTTAAATCATGTCATCATGCAAATATGACCGTCGTGCGAGGTTGACTCGCGCGTCCTTGCGTGCGTGTTTCTCGCTCGTCGACAGCTACTTTTAACATAATATACTTTTGAATCTATTTTTAAGGTCTCTCTTTTATCTGCCATTGTTTTTTTTTTCTTTTTTGAACTGTGAAACTGGTAAAGCTTTAATATCTTTTCGTGACGCATTTCTATTTTGAAGACTAGCGCTAAAATTAAAAGAGCGTAAATAATTCATCTCGGTTCACACGATTTTGCACTTTGTTCTAAAATAAATAGAATTGTGTAAAGTATTTGAAGAATACAAAGGTTTGAATTCAAAACTGTAAATCTTCTGTAAATGTGCTGTCCAATATCCGACGGTTTGTCTTCAACTACCTTCTGCATTCCCATCCTAACAAATCAGCCGTCACTGAAAGAATTGATATACAATGAATTCGTTTGAGACACAGATAAACATTTTTATTGCTTAATTTCCCAGATATCCAAAGAAGAGAAAAAAATAAAGGAAAAGAAAAGAACATATCGTTTAGTACCAATGAAACACAACATAAATACATAAAATACAATACATAAGTACATAAATTACCAAAAAGAATCGAACACGGCAGAACTTGATGATCGGGAAAAGAAGCATTATTTCTTGCGCGGCATTAAAATGTACGCGAAATGAGGAAGGTTCATTTTGATCCTTAAAGGCTCGACAGTGAAATTGTCCTTCTAAACAAGGAAAGGAGAGTTCTGCTGCTATACCAGTTTGGATTTATCCCTTCGCTCAATCCTGTTTTGAACGGTTAAGCCCTCCCTAGGATTAACGCTAAATGTGATTCAGAAACTTACACAATTGATAACAAACAACTTAAACGTTGTTTGTCAACTTTTCTTTCGATCTTTTTTCTTAATATCTAACATTTTTAACTATGGTCATTGTCTACCTATAACTTAAAATTAGCGGTTAATTTGAACCAATGGAAATAAAAAAATATATTGACTGTGAATATCAGATTTATTCGTTTAGTTTCAATTTATATCGTTAGTTCCCCTTGGAGTCGAGTGTAGCGTGATGTATTGGAATTAACTGAACTGCACACATTTCCTTATACTCTGTTTGTCTCGTAGGGTTTGTTATCTACTTTGGTTATGGAATTAGAAACAGCGTGGAAGGAAATCCAAAACAAGACAACAACGACAATGATTTCATCCTACAAGGAACACCGGACTTTGAGCAAGACGTGCAAACAGTTCAACCCAGTCACGGAGCAACAGACGACAAAGTACCTTTAGAAGCAAGCTTCAGTGAACCTAGTTAGGAACAGTGAAAATTATATTATTGATATTAAAATCGCAAAGTCTATAACTCTACAGTCAGATGCAAAAAACCCAATTGGAAACACGTGTGGTTTGACGCGATTTTAACCCCCCCGCAAAAACATGGTCTGAGATCCGCAACCATCAAAATTTTTAACTTTAGAAAGAATGATAGAGGAAAGTCTTTTTTTTTATCATTTATTACTTTGTTCTTTTAAAATATATAAAATCCTCTCTCTATATAACTCGTCTCAACGGTTTTGCATCTGATGTGAGATATGGACTTCTGAAGAATGAATGTTTAATTGTAAATAACAATTCTGGGATCACGTTCTCAAATGTTAAGTTCAGTTTCAAATTATGAGGAAAGTTCCAGAAAATTATTCTAATTTGAGGCGAATTTGCCGCAAATGTATTGTAATCTGTAAATGTTTTGGTCTTCGGCTACCCATAGTAGCAAAGCAATTCCCAGGGTTTGATATTATTTATTTTTCAATTGTTATCATTGAGTTTGAATTTATGAACTTTACTCAGGAAGTTATCTAAAAGTTACTGGTTATGCTCGGACACAAAAGCTTTTCGTTAGTTTAAACTAATTTTAATAATTAGATTATGAGCTCGAGATTTCTACTACGCATAGAAATCGAGAGCGAATGATCTAATTGTTTTGGTATAAATCTACTGGTAGTTTAAAACTTAATCTAAATCCTCTTCACGGACACTTCGAAATCGCGAAGAAGCGGCCGCCATTTTGTTTAGAACCGCACGCTGCTACGCTACTCACTATCTATCATAAGAATAGATAGTGAGTAGCATAGCCAATCAGAGAACGGCATTCGTGATAGAACGCTAGTAGATTTATACTAATAGTGTTTAATGGGGAACACTTTCAGAGTGTCATGGTTATTTTTGTTGTAGTTAAATACATAATTCGGAATACGGTTTCATGCTTACCTTAGAACAACATAAAAGACGAAACACGTGAAAGCCTAGAAAAGGAAACAGAAAACAAGATCGAGAGTTTTTAAATTGACACGCTTCGAAGACTGTAGTAGTGTTACCATTGAAACTTTTCCATGGTCAGCATTGTTTAATGTCAAGATCAGAGAAAAACCAGGTTTAATTTGAAAATTAGCTAACTGTTCGAATTAATAAGCGCGCGGGTTTTTGTTTTGGGTAAACGATTCAAACGGATCTGATCAAAAAAGGTATTATTTTTTAATTTAAATTGCAAAACAAAAAGCATATATTTTTCGATTTCGACATTATTCCTTTGCCGTCTTTGTACATAGAATTTAATTGTCGTGGCTGTGAACTAGATGTGTATCTTTAAAGACTTAGCTTGGATACCACAGGCTTTTCTCATGCTCATATCCTTTGTCCGTTTCGGCCGACTGTTCCAGAAGAACCTCTGGTACCAAGGTATTTTATATACTTGTCTCAGCTGGTCCTGGGCGGAATTGCATTTAGGGTACATAGTTGGGACTTGGTAAATCAAATTTATGTTGGGTTAACATTATTGGCCCTTTGAAATGTCGAAAAAGTCATTCGATGACACCAATTAAACCTCCTTATTGAAGGGAAAATTTAGAATAAAAATATCCAATAAGATGTTCCGTGCAATGTCGCCATTTTGTTTTCATTCTCACTTACCATTCACTGTGTTTAAGGGTAAGTCTCTTGGTGGTGTGGGGGCTCCTTAGAGGGATTGCTGATATTCCATACGCAAATCTATCGAAAAGTGTAAGTTAAAATTTAAAGTCCCAACTACACGTGTTTCCAATGAGAAAGTTACTTTTGTTGCAAACGCAACACGACGTGACGGTATCTCAAAAACAAAATGGCGACATCAACGTCAATAAAGGTAAATTTTAAAACAATTTTAAAATTTCAACGCCAGTAATCGGCCAACTACTACTTTAAGAGTGGTACAGCTCTGTTGAAGCGTGTCAAGGTAGCGTTCAAACTATTTCACGCATTGAGGATCAATAAACTAAAAATAAATGATTCAATTTAACGTTTGTTTTGCCTTTCTACAGCGTCAACTTACAAATTCTTCCCGCTCATCAACACACAGCAATTAAAATACTAGCTGGGTATTTTATATTTGTCGACCCGCGATATCGCGTGGAGGAGTCCAATTGGGTCTGTGATCATAAGGGTGATTAACAAAATCGGACGACTTCGAAGCGAGAGTCCGATTTGTTAATCACCCTTATGATCACAGACAGAATTAGAGGACACGATGCTCTGTTACCAATTAATCAGAACCATTACAATTTCCTCAAAAAGTAAAAGTTTCATTTGAAAACTAGCTTTGAATAGTCAATTAAATGTGAGAATAGCTTGAAAAGTCACCGGAGATAAACCTCCTCAATTTTACCAAGTCGCTTGCTCGAATAGACCGTTTTCGGTATATTAAACTAGTTCAGCTTTGCAGCGCGGCTTCGAGGGCACCATGTTTATTCATTTCTTTCTTTTCGTTTGTCCTCATGGCCTCACTATCAAGCTGAATTTTAATGTATCGAAAGTGGCCTATTGGTTATAACAATGACTGTAATGAAAGTTGTGCTCGATGGATTTAGTTGAGTGAACTAAAAATGAGTGGCTCAAATATTCGCAACTGCTAATCAGAAGATTTGGGGCAGTTTTTTTACATCCTGCGATATGTCAACTTGTCGTAGCTCAAATAGCCTTGTTTACGTTTTTACCGCCTGCGCGCGCAATTGTACGGCATAATTTTCTCGGGCAGAACTTTGCTACGTCATTCCGTAAATATGACCTCACAGTTACGCGAGTAGAGTCGTTTCAATGTATTCTCAATGCATTCAAATGCTGCATGGAAATAACAAGCACCTTCATACTTTCCATGGGGGCGGATTTGGGTAAGGTCATTCCTTTGTTTGCGTACCCACACAACGCAGCATTAAAACAACTTACATTTAAACAAGCTTATTATTTGCGCGGGAAATGGTTTTCAAGAGGAAAATAAATCCTCCATCGTTTAGGTTTTTCGGTTTTCTAATCTAGCTTTCACACCTCGCTGTTTTGGCACGTTTTAGCCACTTCATACGCTGCAGTTTAGAATCTGAACAGCCTAGTTTGTAGTTACTTCCTCTTCTAAGAATTTTTGAAAGGCGTACAAAGTACTACCACAGAACCAGTCAAAGCGCCAAGGGTTGTCGGGAACCTACCAATATATGCTAGGCTTGTAATAGAGGGACGTGAAATTGTGCGTGGCTACTTGCGAGTTTTCGAGACCAGTGAGCGAAGCTACGAGGTATTCATAGGAAGAAACAGAAGATTCCGGAGTAAGATTTTTCTTAAAATCATGTTACAGCGCACACTCAAGGGTATCAAAAACATTGAAGTACGTATGTTCCTTAAGAGTTGTATTCGTAGAATGGGAATTCCGTTCTCCCCTCATTTCTGTTTTAGACTTGTACCTTTCCCCTCCAATATATATTTTGTACAACCTTGTAGTTGACAAAGTACATGTATCATATATACTAAGGAAATTTTCTCCACAGAAACAAAAAAATATCAAAAACGGAAATAATTACAGATACAAAGATGTGTCGGTGCTTTTCGTCCAATCTCTTTTTTTTAATTAACAAGATTTCTAACATGATTCTTAGGAAGCGTTAATGAAGTATTGGTCCTAGATGTGAACATGAGACACACTGAGGTGCGCCAGAGACTCGTAACATGTTATATACACTGCTTGTCTATGTACACAAGATACAAAATTATACGCGCGTTATCTCCGATGCCGATGGTCGCGTCCTTTATTCCTTGAGCTCCGATAGTCCACTCCATTCCGGTCACGATGCCTGTCTTCTCGCTTTTTCTTTTCTCGCCCTTGTTCATATTTCCCGCGCGATCTCTTCAATGGACTTCGACTTCGCGATCGACTCCGGCTCTGAGAGAGAGGTGACCTACTTCGTTCACGCATCTTTTCCCGTTGATGACTATTAAATCCATCGGATCTCGCCTTCTTTCGGACGTACTCGCCGTCGTATTTCCGAGGTCGCGCTCGTTTTTCGTCGTCTCTTCCTCGGGCCGGGCTTCGTCGTCGTTTATTCTTCCCCCTCTGTTTGTCTGGACTTTCGTCGCTGCTTTCCGACTCGCTTCTACTGTTGTTGTCAGGGCTGATTGATAAGCTGTAACTCCTTGATCGGCTTCGACTTCTGCTGCGTGTTCGGCTTCCCGAACGGCTCCGAGAACGGCGAATGATGGGGGATCGGCTCCGACGGCTTGCTCGGGAGATTGGACTAAAAAAGAAACGGCGAAACATGCGAGATTTAAAAAGCAACTCCAACAAAAAAAAAATATAGAAATTAGTACCAAATTATGCAGTCTATCGCCAAGCCTAGATGACTAGCCTAGGGAGAGGAGGGGGAGAGACACAACACAAAATGCCAGGTGCAGGCCAAGAGATCCAGAGTCTAAACCAGTTACAAAGCGTCACTGACGAATTCACACAATAAATGCCTTCAAATGTGCGCGGTAAACACAGGCTGCACATATTTACCGTTCTTTATTACTCGTCCTCTTGTCCTCGTCTACCTTTGAAGAACTCTTCTTCTTTTTACCATCCGTTATCCCAGCCACAGATGACGGAGACACCCTGCTGGGTGAAGAAGGCCTTGACCCTAAGCACCAAAATAAAGTAAATAAATAAACAATATGAAAAAAGTACAAATCTGAAATGCTAAACGAATACTTTTAATTGCAATCCTAGGAGAGGCGCGGTGGCCTCACGGTTAGTCCACTTGCCTCTGGATCGAGTGGTCCGGGTTCGAGCCCTGGCAGGGGACATTGTGTTATGTTCTTGGGCATGACACTTCATGTATAAATGGGTAACGGCGAACTTAATGCTGGGAGGTAACCCCAATGGACTCAGGCCTAGCATCCCATCCAGCAGGTAGTAAAAATATTCCTAGTCACCTCATGCTACAGAAACCAGAGGTAAGCACCGGCCTGACTGGCCACTTGGCTTACCGTGTACCATGAAATTTTTGCGGGACTTCTATTTTGTAGATGGGCCATTTTTTGAGTTTTGCGGGAACAAATTTTTGCGGCTAGAATTGGCTGAAGTTTCCCCTGGGAACTAATTTTTGCGGTTTCCTTTTCAAGCAGCGAGACATCACCAACGAAGGAAATGTAATATTTTTAACTTTTATTACTTTTTTAGGTAAAACAACAGTCCATACTTGTCAGACATTTCAGTCAACGACAAGCCAGTCGTACAACAAAGTATTTCCGGTTACAACAAAACATTCCCAGTCAAGCTATAAAAGCTGTAAACGCTGTAAAATACACGCTCTTTTTTACCCCAATGTAAGATGTAGATAACACAAGTGGATTAAAAGCCATTTTGGATTACATTGACGGGAGTGAAAAAAACCCGCAAAATAAAAGTGCTACACGGTATGCATAGTTCACCTACCTACAATCCCTCATAGCTTTACATTAGACTAGTTTTTCTCAGCATCAAAGAAGCACAAAACATCCCTAATTTGCCAGAGCCTTCTATAATTATTTATTGTAAAATTGTTAAATAGACATTTTCTAAGAATTCAAGTTGAATTTTTGCGACCTCTTCTTGATAGAATTGCGACGAAGAGTAGTTATTATTTTCAAAGCTATGGAGGTAATTACGGTATGACCAACTGGAGAGTTTAACACATCAGTTACTTCAGCCGTAGCTTGTTGCAGTCCTCTGAGTCTCTACAAGATTAAGCTGGGCACCACAACACACCTAGTCTCCTCTGCAACCGTTTTTTGGGATGTCACGCAACGCTCGTTTCTTTGGGGGAGCGTTGCGTGACATCCCAAAAAACGGCTGCGGAGGAGACTACAACACACCAGACCCAAGAACAAAACAAAGCCACATTAACTAAGAAAAATTCCAGTCTGTCTTTACCTTGCCTGGCGTCATCTCTAGCTGCTGCTGTCCCTCCAACAGGGGACAAGTTAGGAGTCGAGTTGTTGGCTGCTTGGGCTCCATCTGCTTGATGCTCACTCTTCTTCTGAGCCAGTTCATTGCGGATTTCACTGACAGCCTTCTGAAGGGTATCCAAGTTAGCCTGTGACAAAGCATAACGAATGTCGGTCGTTTTGCCTACAAGTCGATTCGCCTACATCGAAGTTGTTTCGCCTACATGATCGAAGTTGTTTCACCTACATTAAGGTCAATTCACCCACACGATCTAAGTCGTTTCGCCTACACTTAAGTCAAAGTTATTTTGGGAAGATAGATGAACACTGACTGTCAGATTTCTTATGGTGAAAGGGAGGTCGAACGTCCCTCTGGAAGTGATAAAGAATTTCCCACTTTTAATAATTATTATTATTATAGCAAACACAATTTAAAACAATAAACTTCACTGTGATTACCAGCCAATGCTTAAACAACATTACCTTTGGTCTCATATATAAACTCAAAAGTGTCAGACTAATTTCCTGCAAAAACAAAGAAACACCGTGTCAAACCAAGTTGTTGGGAACAAAAGAGGATGCTGTACAAACTATAGGCCTCTTAACTCTGCCTACAGGCAAATTAGGCTTGATTACCAACTGCTGTTTGGGAAAATAAGCCTGCACTTGCCCCCTCCTCACCTCCCCCCACCTTCGCCCCCTTAAGACAAATCCCTACATTCCATGATGTCATGGTAACAAACAAGAGAAGTGCTATGATTTCTTGATGAACTGTTACCCATAACTTGATTGTTACAAATAACTAATACTAAAATCTGAGCAAATAGTTTCCCTTGTGCCTACTCAGTTATTTGAGGCAAACAGAGATTTTGCCATACAAACAATCAAGTTAATCATTAACATTCTTACAGTACTTGTCGAGTAGTTGACTTTACAGATCTAAAACAACAATGACAACAACAACAAGAAACATACACTGTACCTCGAGATCTTCCAATTTAGCACCAAACAGCTCCCACCAGGGTGGTCTGGTTGGTAAACTAATCTACAAAAAAACAAGCATCTTTATTTACAACCATATTTCAGGACAGTATCAAAAGAAAACGAAAAAAAGGCTGTTTGAGATACCTATGGTACATGACTGATGAAAAAGAAAGGGAAAGTGATCACAAAATGATACAAGTTTGAGAGAGCACGGAGTTTTGAGATAATGATAAGATGACCAAGATAATAATGAGATAACCAAGTTCGAGATAGCCAGGTTCAACTGTGGTTGAGGATTGTTTCACCTATAGCAGCCAGAAATAGGGAGTCAACCAAGATAATCACACATCAATTTCAGGAGTCAACTTATAAGTACATACCCCAAGTTGCCTCGCAGAGAGAAAAATACAAGCACAGCCAATGGTTTCAGGAGGGTACCTTACAAAAATATTTGTTCTAAAACTGTCATTCATGTAATTCCTGAAATAAAATAACAGAAGTTAATTTCATAGTAGTCATGGCAAAAAACCAAAACAAAACAAAAAAACCAAGAAAGTTGGACATTCAAAAGAGTTTAGCATCCCTTCTTGTAACATAATCCAATATCATTATAGCCGTTTAGGTAGTGTTGGAAATCAGCTTTAGCCCACTAGCCCATGCAAATGTAAAAAGTGTTAGGCAAGTACAAATCATTTTCATTTTTGGGAAATTATTTGAGCTTAAATATTGATAACACCTCCATTTTGGCACGAGTATCTCTAAACGAAAACTTATCTTTCAAGATGCTTAAATAATTTGCTGATAATACACAACTTAGTGCCGATTCCATAAATAGACAAAATATAATACAGCTTCCTTGAAGTGGTAATTTACATTTCTCACTTTCAAAAAAGTACCTACAAACTATGCCCTTAATGATTCTTGTGTAGGCACCTCTTTAGGGTAAACAAAGTAACATTGGTACATACCAGGCCTTCTGGGCTAGTGGTGTGTTTGTTTGACTATCAAGAATCTGAAGATACATTATAATGACCTAAAAACAAATGAAAACAAAGCAAGTTACAGCAAGATGCTAACAAAAAGAAACTGCAAAAAAGAAAAGTTTATTTACATACAATTACCGGTAGGAAAGATATGGGCCCAGTTACATGCATTTCCACACAAATTAATCCTAATCAGAGATTAGAATGCCATAGTTGAAACTGCATTCAAAGTTGATTGTATTCAATAATGAGGTAACAATACAGATTAGAATTACACCTAATTTTCTCATTTACAATAATTATCTAATTTGTTTTAAATTTTCATAATTAAATCACATGTTCCTCATGAATTCCGTATCCTATTCTGTCATACACTTTTTGCTTAAATTTTGTCAGAGAGAAAAGAAAAAAATCACACTCACAGCCTACTACTACAAGAGACAAACCAAAAAGTAAATAACATAAAATAATAAAATAGATACATGAAACAATACTTCTATCTCTGTGGTCAATAGAAATTGATATCACTGTTAGAGAGATAATTTTTTGTGTGTACCTTGTGAGGGTGCTTTACATGAACACAAAAGCCAAGTTCCTGAAAGGCAAAAACAGCCAATAATGAACACTAAATAACAGAGTTGAGAGATTGTGATCTAAGAGTTTCAGCAGGATTTCAAAAGATTCAAACAAGAGTAAATAATAGAAATTCCAACACTAAAGAACAGTCCACTGCCAACAGGAGCCAATCAGCAAGTAGCACTGATAATGATAATAGATGATACTTCACAACATTGATTAGTTTTGATTGGATCTTTTTTAAAGTTTGAAAAACCTTTTGCCACACCTAATTCTCTTTTGTACACAAAAACCATTACCATGTCATGCAGGAAAATGGCCAGGATTTGTTGGACTACCTTCTGAAACAATCAAAACTTCAAAGGTGTAGATCTCTCTTCATTTAGTATAAATCTACCAGTGTTCTACCATGAATGCCATTCTCTGATTGGCTGCACTGCTCACTATCTTTTCCGTTGCAGATAGAGAGTAGTGCAACAGCGTGAGCTTGTTAACAAACTAGCAGCAACTTCTTTGCATTTTCAAAGTGTCTGTGAAGAGGATATAACATGATAGAAGTCTGGAGCTCATAAGCTAATTGTATTAACTGACCTTCAATATCCTTCTTTCAGCCTTGATGACTTGGTTTTTCAGGGAAAAGTAGCTATTACCCATGTATTCCATGGGCTGAATGGTCCTGAAAAAACATCATATGCAACATGACATTTCAACCTTAAGGGTCTTACTGAATTCTTGAGTTCTGACACAGCTGTGTTGTCTTGCTAGCTCCAGACAGCCTCACATCTCTTACAGAACCAGCTGACCACAAAGTCAGTAGTAAGCACCGTTAGCAAGCAGTATGAGGAAGTTCAACAAAAATGCTCCAGTCTAGTAAACACTGTCCATTAAATTGTTTGTATTATTTTACTGTTTCATTTCAACTATTTAACTGCAGTGTCAATACTGAAATGAACTGCTTTTTTAAAATTTTTTATAGTTAACATACTTTTAACCTTTTAAGTATTTGTTTTTTTTTTCCCTTGGGATTTTGATTTTTCAACTTTTGACCATGGTATAGATTTCTGTGCTGAACAAATAAATAAATAAATAAATGTTTCAAACAAACTATTATGTGTAGTGGTAGCAAAATTATTACTCAATATCTATAACAAATTTGCTATACGTTAACAGTCACTCCTTCTTTCAAGATGATAGTCATCTGATAACATTCTTTACAGTATACACTCTGCACAATGCAAGCTTGATGTTGTGCTTCTATAGAAAGCTAGGTGGAACTTTTTTTGGATTCTGAGTTACTCTGAGAAAAATTGCCAACTCCACAGTAAAACGAGTCTTCCCATGAATAAACCAGATTGAGATACTTTATAAACTTCACTTTTACCAAACAAACGCATCCAAGCAGTGTGGCCTTGCCATACTGCTTTTGAGTACAACTTAACCAGGTAAGTGCTTGTATCTAGCTTTCTGAACATGAAGTGTTCTGTCTACTTTAAGAGCTACTTAAGCATTAGAATTGAGTGTAGCACACATAAACAAAGGGTTACAACAACACAAGAGCATTATCTTTGTCTTGCAGGGGGAAGGATGGGCACACTTCATGTTTGCACAACAAGTTTCTCCATTCTACTCAGATTGAAGATGACAAAGAAAGCTCATTTATGTTTAAATAAAACCCTTTACATCACATGTCTATAAAAATAATAATCACCAGCAGCTATATAATCTCCCAACCTGTTGTATTTATAACAGGTTTCCTGACAACTACCACTGGTTGTTAATAATCTATAACAACCAAACAGTCAAGATATTTCCATGAACAACAGTGACATCTTGTGACACCTAAAATCATTTTATCTCAAACCAGTTAACCTATAAGCCTTCAATTTCAGCAGACTAGTCAGATAATCACTCAGCTTGGTAACAACAGGCACCTTCCAGGTATCGAGAGCCATTCACTGGTAAGAAACTGGATGGATCTAAAGATCTAAACTCCACAAGAAAGTATCCTACATTTTTAGACACACTCAGGATTCTAAGGTAAAGCCTGCCAGAAAGAGCCATTAAGCAAAGAGCAGCTGAATAGTATTATTCCTCCAGCAGAGCATGGCATCAGTAAACATTTCATGCTTTCTCTTGTATCTGAATACACAGCAGTCACTTGGGAAGAAATTCTAGGGAAAGTCTTAAGTAAGGTGTAAATTCTTTAACTCAAATTAGACTGAAATTGCAGAATTTTCCTGAAAATTTAAGTGAGTACCTCTTTTTGTACGCACTGTTTTTGAAAGACCATGATAAAATTTGTAAATGTCACAAAAATAATAACCCTGCAATAATGATCTTGCCAGCATTGCACAAAGCAGCCTTCTGTACGGACACACGAGAATTATTGAAACATGGTACACTTAAAGCATGACATTAACTACAGTAAGGTAGGAGCCAAATAATAATTGAGGTTCATTGCTGTCAGAATATCAAAACAAAGACCAAACATCAAGAGAATGGGGTAAAATCCTGTGAGAAAGTGTGATTTACTTTAATTTGATGGAAATGGTTAACTAACTCAGGTTGGTATGGTAATGTTTGCACAAATTCCTGTCCTATTCTTTCCTGTGTTTTCTAAAAGAAATAGGAAACATTTTCTTCATTTCAATTGGGTTATAAACACTTGCAACAGTTTGGGAGAACAGGAAAAAGCTGCGGAAACATGGCTCTAGCTTGTGTTCCAGCAGCATATCTTTGGAGTAATGCAGAACAAAGGATGCAACTGTTTGTATTGTACACAGTGCCTATGCTTGAAAGTTTTGCCTCTGGATAACCATGTTGGAAATCAGCTTCAGCTGTTAATTCTCTTTTGTCAGTTCATCCATTTCAAAAGTAGAGAACATTTTACGCACTTCCATTGATTTATAAAAATAAAAGCGTTCACCTGAAGAAAATGAGCAACTGTGCATGTAAGACTACGAACACACGTTGAAAAAAATGTATGTAAGTATTCATATGCACCTGCATTTATTTTTATTTTATATTGTTAAGGCCTTATGTGTCCCATGGCACAAATAAGGACTGATGATGATGCATATATTTTGCAACACACATTTGCCATTAAATTTTGAAAGGTCTCTGAAGAGTTTTTGGCCGAGACGAAATGCCTCGTCAGACTTTCCACAAACTATGTTTTCACAAGTATTGGTCCAGTCCTATTGTATAAATGTGAACGTACGTGTGGTTGGGAATCCTTCTGCGATAGAAGGCCAGACTGCTAACATCATGAATTTACAAACTGGACTTCGAGTGTGATGCTCAACGTGTTTGCTGTTAAGTATTTGTCACTTCACATGCATTATGCACAAATTGTGTCCAATATGATGTCTTTATGCGCATATCATGTGCACATCATGCTGTAGTAATGCCATAGTTGGCAATTTATTAAAATAGCTGCTCACTGCTTTTGTTTGCACTAAACAATCCAGAGTCTCAATGACAAGGAAAAATGTCACTCTCTCTACACTCCTGTGTTGGTTCTTAGCTGGCATTCAATTTTTCGTAGAGGTCCTGATAAATGAAAATGATTGTGGTGACATGGTTCACATGAGCCCTGTCTTTCTTCATTCCTTGTGGCCCAAACTGTCAAATCAATTGCTTTGAATGACGCTCAAGGCACACCATGGATCTGTACTTTGCATTACTATGTTGAAAATGTGTAAGTTGAACATATCACAATATTCCATGACTGCTAAACTAAATGCCCATTTGCACTCTAAAAAATGTCATTAATTATGTAGTCCGAGACTTGGCTCCAAGAAGTTATGCTGGTAAATGTGGATCACAATTATTGTGGGACCACAATTACATATGTAGAGTTACAAAGGAATGGTTTAAATATGTAGCAGCACTCATTCTGTGGATATTTCAATGAGTCCTAAACTCCCCATGGGATTATATAGATGAACAAAGTCTCCATTTATAGACTGAAGTTTTGGGAGTTCATATAAATAAGATCGTAAGGGGGTAAAAATTTCACTCTGAATGGTCATCTTCTGTAGAATGTACGATATATCTAGGATAAATCCATTGGGTCCTTTCCATTTGGTTTCTTTCTATACTATTAAAATAATGCTTGCACACACGTTGTAGTTAAACACATAAGCTTAAGATGTCTGTCAAGAACAGTGCAAAGTAAAGAGAGGATCCACTGTAACATTTCAATTTCCTCTCGTGAAGGTGCAAACAAACCAATAAAAAGATATCCAAGGTTCATCCTTTTTATGGAAAAAAAAAATCCAGGTTTTTTTTGAGGACATTCCATGACACAACTGCAATTTTTTCAGGATTCTATCCACTAAAAACATTACCACTGGAATGTGACACTAGAAGAAAATTGCCACATTTGTTCAAGTTTTGTTTGTTTTACATGTAGTTCTTCCGCTACGGGGATGGTCTCATAAGAATTTTCAAGATTTGTGAGGACCCAACGCACTTTTCCCAGAATTGCAAGGCTAATCAAGAGGCACACAAACCCTGAATATCCTATTTCCTGAGAGGCCCCCGGAAATGGCTTGCAGTTTGTATCTACTCATGGACAGCAGTTGATCACAACCAGTCAACTATTTGATAAACAACTTCAGTTACGCATCAAATAATTGCAGGTAGAGGTTCACTCATCTGCTTTGAGAAGAGGTGCACTTCTGTCGTGAAGGCTACAGAAGAAAATGAACTATCTTCCACAGGTAAGGCCAATTCATTTCTATTGCATTTCTCAACAGTAAAAGTAGTGAATTAGAGAAAACAGAATGCAAGGAAAACTCCCAAACTGAGCTCAGCTTTAGCCAGGTTAGGTTAAGAAAGGACGCATTTCAGGTAAAGTGCTTATCAGATGTCTATGAGGGATCCCAAAAATATTCTGGAGTAACATTACATTTGACATTTTTTAAAATACTGACAGGAGTCCCCCTCTTCAAAAACAATTAAATCCCAAGTCTTTCTCAGAGTGGAGATTTTTGTTACTACAGTATATGCTTTTTCTACATTTTGTGTTGTTACTTTAGAATTAGAAAACTCTTTCTGTGCATGTTTGATTGTTTGGGTTTTTTTGCAGTAAAGCAGCCTAGATGGAAGATTCAGAGAACAAAAAATGTTGGGAACAGAGGAACTATTCAAGATTTCTCAGTAGCAAAATATCTTCCAAAGACATCCTGACAATATTCCTTCCCATTTAGCACTCCTCTCCCTTTCTAGGAGTCAGTGACCCCACAAAATGATGTTGAAAACTTTCATGGCATTTGAAGTGCAAAAGGGTTTATTATTGGAATGCGGTAACCTCCAAAATAGATAAAATTTTACTAGCATGATAAGAAGCACATTGTAGACATGAAAGCAAAATAACACTAAACAAGAGAGAGCACATTAGGTGACCAGTGGCAGTACAGCTATCCAGAAACAGTGGCTTTGTCTACATCAGCATAGCCTTGGTGAGAAAGCCAGGGATTTTATTTGAACAAACTTGTCTTTATGGAGCTTCAATTTTCAAGGTGTAACATCTCCCCCCC